TTTTTAAACTTTAAAAAAAAACCCTGAAATCTGACTTTTTCATTTGGGGAGGAGGGGACATCCAGGAAGTGGGGAGCATAGTTTCACCTGCAGTGCCACCTACCTATCTTTAGAGCGGTGCTTTCCAACCACGAACCCTCCGAAGTGCGGGCAGGCGTTGACGGCCCCCAGGGCACTTGGCAGCAGCTGGCATTCCCCTGGGGAAGCTGCCAGGCTTGATTTACCCTAACCTAAGGCTTTGGGTTTCCTGAAATGGGCATCGTAGGCGGAGGCCTGCCCTGTTTATTTCAGGTGAGGGGCCTTTCTTACAGCTCTAAGACAGCAGTTCTCAATCTGTGGGTGGCGGCCCCTTTTGGGGGGTCGCCCGATTCACAACAGTAGCAAAATTACAGTTATGAAGTAGCAATGAAAATAATGTTATGGTCGGAAGGGGAGGTCACCACAACACGAGGAACTGTATTAAAGGGTCGTGGCATTAGGAAGGTTAAGAACCACTGCTCTAAGAGATTGACAACCCACTGGTATCAAAATGCGGGTCATTGTGCACATGTGTACGCAGGTCAGTGGACCGTGTGTGCTGCTGGTGTGTCCCATCAAGTCAGTCCCAGCTCAGACTGGCCCCAGGTGACAGTGGAGCTGCCCCATGGGATCCTCGAGGCCACAGATCACCAGGTCTTTCCCCCGAGGGGCCACTGGATGGGTTTGAACCAGCAACGATTGGGTAGCAGTGTAGTCCTTGTATTCCATTCCCACCTCCAGCTTCCATGCACTTGAGCGATTGGTGTCACTCATACGCGAAAGTTGAGTTATAGTTCAAGGTACGCTTCATAGGAGAGATCGCCAAAAATGCATAGAAAAACAGCGTGGAAAGATCATGGCATCTGCCCTGAGCTCCCTCCTGGGTTCAGGTAGAGGAGTGATCACTTAGAACATGTGGACAAAGTCACTTTTAGATAATGATTTGTTATTAAAACATTTCACATAAAGGGGAAATGTGATTTCTCTTGGCTTCATCCTACACACACACACACACACACACACACACACACACACACACACATCCTGGTGACCCAGGAAATGTTAAAATGTGTCCCTGTTTTACCTAATGACTAAAGGACTAACTAATAAGAATGAAAGAAATCCCTGATGGATGGGGCAGTCTATATTCTTTCTTATTTTAATCGAGCTATAAAAAAGAAAGAAAATCAAAGCATTTGAAGAACTCTGACAGATGAATTAGGTACAAACCACACCATGGAATTAGTGCTAATAGTAGGCTTTATACTGAGCTGCTCACCACAAGGTCAGCCGTTCAAACCCACCAGCTGCTCCAAGGAAGAAAGATGAGGCTTTCCCAAAGGGGAAGCTCTACCCTGCTCTAAAAGTATAGGGCTGCTATGAGTTGGCATCGACTTGATGGCATTGAGTCTGTTTGTAATCACAGACTTGTTAGAAAATGTACCTGTTTTAGACCTATACATCGAAGGATGGAAATGAGCCCTGGTTGTGCAGCGGGTTAAACAGGAGGCTGCTAACTGCAAGGTTAGTGGTTCAAGCCCACCAGGTGCTCACTCCTTGGGAGAAAGATGAGGCTGTCTCATAAAAAGCTATAGTCTCAAAACCCTATGAGGGCAGTTCTACTCTGTCCTGCTGGGTCCTGTAAGTTAGGGTTGACCTGAGAACTGTGTGTTTGTTTGTTGCTTTTTAACGAAAGGACATAAAGTGAATACCGCTGGGAGTTAGATAAGCCTTAAAATATTCCGCAAGAGAAAGGGCATGGGAGAAATACAGGGTAGATGAGCAAATGAGAGTCTGTGTGAGGTGTGGGTGGGGGGCTTAGGGGTGGGCCTTCAAAAAGCTCATGGGAAAATTCCCTTGTCTTTCTATTCCATTTCCCCCCAAACTTTTGAAGTTCCCTGTATTCCATTCTAGTCTCACCTCTTGAGTACATGTGACGGTTAAGACACAAAGCCAGCGAAGGGCAGCTCTTCCTGCAAATAGCAGACCTTTATGCCCGCCTGGGTGTTCACAAATGCTTAGGGAAGCTTTCCACTCCCTTCTATGGGCTCCTTTTTGGGGGGGTAACGCCATTAAAACCCAGAGATTACACATTCCATATGCAACTAGTCATTAAATGGTTCCTGAAGGCCCTGGGGGGCTGGAATGGCTCAGAAGACTGCAATCTGGAAGCGAGGTGTCAAAATAAAGTCCCAACAACTAGACGTGGCCTAGAAGGGACGCCCAAGGTGGTGGTACGCTCGAAGCAGTAACCTATAGGTATCATCACACCTCTCCTTCCGGCTTGCACTGGAAGCTAACATGCAGAGCCTATAGGTGCAAAAAGCATCATCACACTTCTCCTTCCAGTTTACACTGGAAGTCAATTTGCAGAGCCCACAGGTACCTATGGTATCATTACACCTCCTCTCCCAGCTTGCACCGGAAGCTAACTTGCAAAACCCACAGACACTGTAGTTCTTGGTATATTTGCATCGTGTCCCGAATAAATCCATATTTAAATCGCCATCAATTTTCAGCCTTTTGGCTAAGATTAAGTGCATATTTAAATCGCCAATTAAGTTCAAGGGCCCCGCACCAGGAAATCTCATTTGGTAATAAGTTGTAGAAAGGGAAATCATCCAGGGGCTGGTTTACCACACGTGAGTGTGTGATGCGCTGTCAGGCTAGGGCCATGCACCCACCCACGTGATCAGGGATGGGACACACGAGTCACAGGCCGGAGTCAGGGCCCAAGTGCTCAGGGCTTACAGAGCGATTCAGCCCTGAGAGCTCACAGGGGACAGCAGAGGGTAGGCAAAGCTGCTTGGGGATGATCACGCTTAGGGGCGAAGATGTGGGGGTGAAGGGATGGGATGGATGGGGAGAGGGGGACTGCAGGGAGGGAGGCAAACCACCCAGCTGCTGCCAACCCTTGTGTGTGAGGTTAGAGCTGGGCACTCTCGGGTTTGCAATGGTTGTAATCTTTCAAAAGTAGATCTTATGAGATGCCTTGGAGTGGACTCTAAGAAACAACCTTTCAGTTCACAGTAGCTGAACCCTTAACCATGGAGGGGGGGACAACAACGAGAGTGAGTCCAGTCAATTCAGTGCTGTCTGGTTAATTCTGACTCAGAGGAACCTTACGACAGAGTAGAGTTCTGCCCATAGGATTTCCAATACTTAGGGAAGCAGATTGACTCATTCTCCCTCAGACCTGCTGGGTGATTTGAACAGCCAGCTTTCTGGTTAGCAGCCAAGTGTTAGGGTGGGCGGAATCTCCCACTGTTGTCAACTCCATCTGAGTCCTAGTAGCCCTACTGGACAGCTTAGAACCACTGCCTAGGGTTTCCAGGGCTGTACATCTTTACGGGAGCAGACAGCCTCATATGCCTCCCAAGGAGTGGTTGGTGGTTTTAAACCACTGACCTTTTGATCAGAAGGGCATGCTTGTGGGCATACAGGGAAACAGGAAGAGTACTAGTATTCCGTAATATCGCTGCATTTCAAGAAGGCTACAAGCGCACCCACCTAAGCAAAAGGTCAGCAATTCAAACTCACCAGCCACCCCTCAGGCAAAAGATGAGACTGCGCCTGTAAATATTGTCTTTAACTTACACCTGTCTGAGTAAAGCAAGTCACTGCACCTTGGTCATGCTTCTTTTCCCAGAGAAATGTGGTCTAGGGCGTAGGTGCCTTGACTCCTGGCCCTGGACTCTTTAGATCAAACCAACCAGGCTGTGCGGTCAAGGTAGGAGACGTAGGTAGGGAACAAACAGACTGTGGAAGGCAGTTCAAACCCACCCAACATCTCTACTGATGAGAACCATCTGCTCCCGTCAGGTTGACAGCGTAGGAAACCCTACAGGGCAGCCCAGCTCTTGTCACACTTGGGAGTTGAGTCAGAATCCACTCAAGGGCATCCAACAACAGAAGCCATGGTTCATAAAGACCAAGACAACCCCACTGCCATGGAGTGGGTTCCAATTGACAGCCACCCTATCAAACAGAGTAGAACCACCACGCCCCCGGCTGGACCCCCTGCTCCACGACATACATACGAGACTTAGGAAATGATCGACATATTTGCATCTGTGATTTACATTGCAAAGCAGAGGTACACAGAAGCCTTCAAATGTGTTTGAAAGACCACGTCAGCTTCCAGATAGATGCACCAGTTCTGTTCCCCCTCCATGCAGTGGTAATAAACTGGCTAGTTTAAGCAACAGATTCCAGGAACTTTAGAAACAAAAAGGAACTTCACGCTGACTGACTTCAGCCCCTTGTTTCATAATTAAACAACGAAGATCTGAGAAATGGAAGGGTTGGCCATGTGTACCCCACACTCCACAAGAAACAGACTAGAATTCAGAAAGCACCTCATGTTATCTGTTCTTATACATGATTTCATTAGTCCCGGGAGGAAACTATCTCTACAACTAAATATTCAAATGAAAGGAAGCCTTTTATAGATGGGAAATGCTTGTTTCCACATTTACCATCATTCGTTTTCCCTCCCTCTCTGTTTGTGTGCTACTTCCACCAGGAACTAATTCAAATCTAGATATGGTATTGTCTTTTCTTTCAGGATTGTGGTGTTTGACCTTTAGAACAGGAAGCATTTAGGAAGACATGCTGGCATGAGCTTTTTCTTTTTCTTTTCCCCTGTATCGGGTAAATCTATTGACTATTTCCAAGTTTTGAAACTAGATAAAGGGGGAAAACCTAAAGAAGAGAAGACTTGGATGAAACGGACAACGTTGTTAGCAGAGGACTCTGTCTTCATCCACCTGTCTCCATTGGCAGGATCTGGGGCCCAGTGATTTAAGGTCATTTGTTTGGATATAACAGCCGCTCTGAGAGAGAACAATGAAGCGGTCTGCTCACTTAAAGATACAAGTCCACTAGGACTGTTCTACCCTGTCCTGTAAGGTCCCCACTGGCTTCGGGATGCCGCAGAGCCACTTTGTGATGACTTCCTTCTTTTTGTTTTGTTCTATTAGGTCTGGCTTTTGTTCCAGTAATGCAGAGCCCTTGCTCCTGACTCCTGATAGCAACGTGGGAAACAGAATTGAAAGCATCACTCAGCGTATGGCAGTAATCGAAGGGAAGAATAAGGTATTGTGTATAAAAATAAGCATTGGGATAATTATCCTAAAAATACACCACCAGCGCCCATGTTTGCGTTTAATGGGACTAGAAGTAATCAAACATGAGAACAAAATCCCAGAGAGCAGGAAGATCGTGGAGAGAGGCAGAGGGTGGGGATGGATTGACCATGCAACTGCATGGGCCAAGTGGTCACCACTTTCCAAGTCATGATACCCAGTGCCACAGAGTCGATTCCCATTCACAGTGATCCCACGGGACACCGCACAGCTTCCCATTGGGGCTTCCTTGGCTGTCATCCTTATGGGAGCAGGTGTCAGGTTGTCTCCCATGGAGGTGCTGGTGGGTTAGTGCAGCCACTTTGGGGTTAGCAGCTACGAGGTTCACCACTGTACCACCAGGGTTCCTTAAAGCAATGCTACCTGGTCTACAGAAGAGGTACAGCTGTCTTCCAGGACTGCACGATGCACCCTGTCAGTCGTTTTCCGCCCTGACGGCAGAGTTGAAGACTCTGGCCCCGTCGGTTGCTGTCGAGTAGAACTGCCCCAGAGCGCTTTCTGAGCTGTGATCCAATACACCACACCATGATGGACACACTGTTGAAGTTGTCACGGGTTGCATGTTACTTGGACCCTCGGCCAATGCCCACGCAAGCAGTGGTCCAGAAATCAAATGATGCATTGCATTGGGCAGGTCTGTTGTAAAAGATCCCTTGAAGGTATTCAAAGGTAAAGATGTCGTTTTGAGCACTAAGGTGTGCCTGATCAAGCCCTGGTATTTTCCTGGTCACTTCCTATGCGCGTGAAAGCTGGACCATGCATGAGGAAGATCAGAGAAGAATCCATGCATATAAGTTACGGTGCTGGTGAAGAATACTGGGCAGATGTCCCATGAACCACCAGCAGAATAAGCCAATCTGTTGGAGGTGGTAGAGCCAGAATGCTCCTTAAAAGCGAAGATGTTGAGACGTTGTCTCATGGTACTTTGATCATGTTCTCAGGAGGGACACCAGTCCCTGGAGAAGGACACCATGCTTGGTAAAGTAGAGCATCAGAAAAAGCAAAAAGAAAAAAAGAGGAAGAAGGTCCACGAAGTGGGTTGATACAGTGGCTGCAGCAACAAGCTCAAACAAGGCCAGGATCGTGACAGTGGTGCAGGACCCGGCGGGGTTTCCTCTGGTCCTACTACTGTGTACATCTAACAGCAAGAATAGCGAGTTGCCAGGTCTCTGTCCCGAGGAGCTTCTGGATGGGTTTGAACCGCCACCTTTGTAGTTTACAGCTGAGTTGTGCTGCTAGGCTCCTTCCAGTTGGTAGTACCTCGGGGGTTAGTACCTGATGTGGCCACAGGACTGAGACTTTCTGGCCTGTATCCAGGGGAACCCCAATAAGCAACAGCCTGGAGTCTTGGGTGGCACAGACAGCTAAGGGACTGGGTGGCCCCCACCCACAGAGAGAGGTGGGTTTGAAGACAATTCTGGTTATCTGCCGCTCGAGTCACTGTCACGGGCGGGCTGCGGGGGGGCCACTGTAGTCAGAATCTACTGGACAGCAACTGGGGGTGGCGGGAGGGAGCCAGGTCATTAGGAAAAGGCTTTCCAGGCTGGCGTGCAGGGTTTCCATTTCATAAAAGAGAGAGCTCGTTTTCCCTGTGAATGGGAGGCCTGGCTAAGTGGGGCGGATGAACACGTAGGAGCAGGAGGCCTGCAGCTAGATCTCTGTCCCATTGGGGTCCAGGCAGTCCCCATCTTCCCGTTTTCCAGGCTCCCCCCTCCCCAGTTTTTAATACACTTTTCAAGCCCGAAAAATCTCGCTGGACCTCAGACTTGGTGATGCTTTGCTGAATTTGTGAAGCATGTACTTTAAAAAATAAGCAAATCTGCTATGGTCAAGTATATCAGGAGCCCTTGTGGCCTAGTGGGCTATGCCTTGGGCTGCTAACCACAAGGTCAGTAGTTTGAAACAACCAGCCACTCTGCGGGAGAAAGAGGAGGCTTTCTTCTCTCTTGAAGATTTAGTGTCTCCAAAACACACAGGGGTAGTTCTACTCTGTCCCAGAGGGTTGCTAAAGTCGGGGTGGACTTTGGCAGTGAGCATGATAGCAATAGTGATGCTTAAAAAAAAAACCCAAACTTTAAAGAACCCCTTAGTAAACTGTTTCCCATTGCATGCACATCTTATGCTTTGGAAGGAGCTGTGATAGTTCAGATACAAGCCCAAGGATCAGCAGTTTGGATCTACCAGGTGGTTTCACGGGAGCAACGGCTGACGATCTGCTCCAGTAGCCAGATGACTCTTCAGGAGGCTTACGGGCAGTTCTGCTCTGCCCCTTGGTCGCCATAAACCAACCCCATTGGCACAAACAACCTCTTCTGTGGCCCAACCCACTGCCATCAACTCATACCCTGACTCCTGGCGACCCAATGACACTGGATACTTATGCCCCTGTGGGTTCCCAGGGTGTAAATCTTTCTGGGAGCAAGCAGCATCCTCTTGCTCCCTTGGAGTGCCTGGTTGGTTTGAACTGCCAACCTCATGATTGGCAGCCCAACACATCACACGCCACACACCACCAGGACCCTTCTTATTTGGAGAAGAGGCCGTTACAGCAAAGAACATCTCGTATTCTCCATTGTTGCAAAACGCTTTGGCATATACTGATGTCAGCAGTAGTCTTTGACAAGCCAGAATGGTCGCCTCCATTTTTAAAGATAACAAATAAGACAGGGTGCTAAGATGAGGAACCTCAAGCCGCTTGGGTACAAGTAGCAATCAGGGTCTCAGGGGCTCAACCCAGTTCCCAGCCAACTGAGCCCAGACAGGAATCAGTCAGGGTGACAATGGCCGGCACGCCCACAACACTCCCTTGTCAAAGATTGAAGGACCATGTTTCACGACGACAGTGAACAAGATCCTTTCGGGCCCTTTTTCTAGCATATCCAGGAACCGTCGTTTTAAAAAATGTTCCATTATGTTTAGCTATTATTGAGAGGCTGTTTGAATAGGACACTCATACTTAGAATGGAGGTAATTCCATAAATTCACAAGTTTAGTTTGGATGATACGACACTGAAAAAAAAAGCATCACCTGGACTTTGCGAATAGTAGATATCAAGTTCAGAGGCCTGGTAGGATGCATAGCTGCTACCCAAAATGTTGGTGGTTCAAACCCATTCAGTGACATGGACGCCATCCTGCCAGCTTTTCACACCCTCCCTCTCTGGGTTAGTCTTCTCCACTAACAAACTCACTGCCCTGAGCTTCCTGTCTAAGCCTCAATCTAAAATTGCTCTTGTCAATTTGATTCAACATACAAAACAAACAAGCTCACTGCTAATGTTAATAAAAGACAGAAAGAAAAAGAAAGATATTTTGTTACCAATTAAGCGAAACCACTGTCTGGACAAACCAATGGAAGCAGTGTGGACAAAGCGTTCCTTAGCGGCAAGGATGGTGAAACTTCATCTCACGTACTTTGGACTCCTCGTGAGGAGAGACCAGTCCCTGGAGAAGGACATCCTGCTTGGCAAAGTGGACGGGAAGCGAAAAAGAGAAAGACCCTCAACAAGATCCACTGACACGGTGGCTGCAACAATGGGCTCGAGGATAGGACCGACCGTGAAGACGGCTCAGGGCCAGGCAGTGTTTTGTTCTCGGGCTGGGGCCATGTTTCCTTCTGTTGTGCATAGGGTCACTATGGGTCAGAGCCAACTGGATGGCACATACAAGGACAGCATCGGTTTTAAGAAGGTATCAGGAAATGTTTTCGGTTTATAGTTTAAAGATTACCTCAGGGCAATAATTTAAGGCTGGTTTCATTCAGCCTTCCTGACTCCTGAAAGTCTGGATTTTATGACAATTTGAAATTCTGTTCTCCATTTCCCCCCTTTTGATCATAACTTCTCAACAGACTCCTTGATCAAAATGTTCAGTAATAGAAGCTGGGCACCATCTACCTCTTCAGGATTCTCGGCAATCGTTGTTCATGGAAGTAGTCAGCCACCTATTCTCTTTCATCCTCCTATGCCAGACTGTCCTTCTTCCAATGTTCTAGGCCAATGGAGGCCCTTGTCATATCTTGAGTGGCTGTCCCATGAAATCATGACCATTGAGCTCCAAACCAAGGAAGCACATTTCATGAGGATGTTGTGCTACACAAGCAGCCTCAACCATCAGTCTTGGGTTGGGTTTGGTTTTTACTCTCATTTCAAATCTGTCAAACAACTTTTGCCAATTCAATGCTTTCCGTTGAGCACCCTACTGGTATGTAATTACAGTAATCTGCTGTGCTACTCTACTCATAATTAGTGCAAATTTTCCAATACTGTTAACCGCCCCCTCAACCATTCCCCCTCCCTTCTACCTCTGGTAACCACTGGGCTTGTAGAAATTTGCCTTTTTGTACAGTGACAAACTTTTAATATTCTTTCTAAATGAAGGTATGCATCTATGTGTAGGATGCATATCCTGTTAGCAGCTCGAACTATCACACCTTTAGACCTAACTGTAACACCTTCCTCATTTCGTGGCCTGGATTTATGAGAATTTACCAGTTCTACTCTTATCTATTAGCATGTGTGTGTGTGTGTACACAAAACAAGTGTAATCTTACTTATGACCATGACAAGTGGAACTTCTATTTGTAGATTATTTGTAGATTATTTGCACTGGACTTTCCAACTGCTTGTAGTGTCCATGAATAAGTGAAAAGTCCCCACGGAAGTAACGATGGCCCTGGAATCCACAGACAGCAACTGGGGTTGTGTAGTTAGGGGACGGGTGGAGAAGGCATCTTTCTTGCTGGGTCTCCTGGTGGATTTCAGACATTTGTTTCATTCATTGTTTTGTTCTTTGTTTAAATCAAGAAAGGCTGTGCTGTTGATGGTTGACGTCTGTGTGCTCCCAAGTAGATTTCTACTCAAAGCAACCCCGTGTGACAGACCAGGTGTCCCATTGTTGTTGTTGCTAAGTGTTATCAAGTCAGCTCCGACTCGGATGGGCTGTCTGTAC